GTGTCTGGTCAGAGTCACAAAGAGTTTAATGACAGGGGCAAGATTAGAACTCATTTCTTCTAACTCTCAATCCAAGGGTTTTTGATTGTTATATATTGAATGCAGCAGCATAGCTTAGTGCTTTAGGAGCACAGGCTCTGGCGCTAGAGAGCCTAGGTGAGAACCCTAGCTCCACCAGTAAACTCTGCCACATTGGGCCAGTCATTTAATTCCCCTAAGCCTCAATTTTCTCACCTGGGAAGTGCAGATAATAATAGCATTTTTCTCATAGAGTTGTGAAGACTAAAGGAAAGGAGAGGAACAAGTAATAAACCTAGCATAGTGCCTGGAACATAGTAAGTGAGCAATAATGTTAGCCATTCTTATTAAGGAAGGTCAGGGTAGCACCCAGATAAGAAGAAAAGAAAGAGTAGATGCAGTTATTTGGGCTGAGGCTGATGTTCAAAATGCTCTAGAAGCTTTAAGATACTAATTTTATGTCTTTAAAGATTTCTCAAGTAGCGGCAATTCTGAGTCAAAACCAGGGTGCTTTGACATCATCCAAATCAGCTCTGACCTAAAGGATGTCACAATCCCTAAGTGTCCTCACCTGTAAACTAGCTGCCTTTCCTGCCTATCAGACAAAGCAAGGACTGTGAATGCTGTGCATGCTGAAAGTGCTGTACAAATGTAATATGTGTATTATTACTCTTAGCAATGATATTCATCATCATCACCACACAGTCGATCTCGGCCAGTTTGGATTTTAATATGTCACTTGTAAGGCACTGTGATAGAGCAGGAAACAGGAAAACAAGGCAAGGCCACTTGCAGAAATCCTAACATGTAGTACTAATATTCAAATGTAAAGAAAGCTAAGAAGTAGAGCAGAGAAAAACAAAATCAGTTGTGGGTCTCATAGCAACCAAAAAATAGAAACTCATTTGAAATGTCCAGTGAGTAGGGAGAGATGGCCTTATTAAGACACTGGGTCTCTAAAGCTTTCTGGGGCTGGGATGTACCTCTCACGGGAGATACATTTATCCCATAGAGTTTGCTGCTGAGGATTTGATGACTACCAAAATTTTTTTCTAAGAACAATAACAAAACTAAAACTCCTTATTTTTTATATTAATCAAAATGGTTGAGGGATAAAGACAGTGTTTGTTTAGGAGGTATGAGAGGGATTTTCTTTTCTTACTTTGAAAATGATATAGAAATTTCTATTTATTTTATTTATTTATTTATTTATTTTGCTTTTTTTTGAGACAGAGTCTCGCTCTGTTGCCCTGGATACAGTGCTGTGGCGTCATCATAGCTTACAGCAACCTCAAACTCCTGGGCTCAAGTGATCCTCCTGCCTCAGCCTCCCAAGTACCTGGGACTACAGGTGTGCACCACAACACCCAGCTAATTTTCTATTTTTAGTAGAGACAGTATCTTGCTCTTGCTCAGGCTAGTCTGAAACTCCTGAGCTTAAGCAAACCTCCAGCCTTGGCCTCCCAGAGTGCTAGGATTACAGGCATGAGCCACTGCGCCTGACCTAATTTGCTTTTTTATGAGTACATTTTTAAATTTTAAAACAGAAAGGAAGGGGAAGAGAGTGGAACAACAGAGTGAAAAGTTGAAAAATTACAGGGACAGAAAATTTCAACACCTATTCATTCACAAATTCTCTGTGATAATAAAGTGTGCGGTTTCTGGAAGCCACAGGCTCTAAAGAATCAGAAGGCTGTGGAAAAGATGCCCTTCCTAGTGTGGACTATATAGTAAGTGGATCCCAGTGAGGCTAGGCTTGGGGCAGAGGTCCCACTAAAGCCTAGTCACTGCTGTTCCCCCGCTCCTGCCAGCCCTGCTCCATCTTCCTCCTCCTCATCTGCTCAGATTGCCTGCCAAATACCTAAGGAATGCAATCCTTAATAGTATCTTCCTGTTTACACTGTGCCTCATTCTCGTCCTTTGGGAAAAAGAGAGGAGAAAAGACCCTACTTCACATGCAAGGCCTCCCCCACTACATGTGGATACTAACAGCCTCAAAACTCCTTTCTTGACAGCGATCTAGAGACGAGGGTTAAAAGCATGGGCACCTCGAGGCACACATCCCTCCCTGATTCCTGCAGCCTTCTTTTCTTTTGTACACACAGGTAACTCAAGATACGATATTGTGACAGATAATGCCCAGTCCTTCATTCCCCACAGTGCTGAGGCCAAATACCACCCCAGAGATGTTCTGAAAGGCAGGAAAAGCCAAATGGGGAAGAAAATGGCTGAGGATAGAAGAGATGCTGAAGAAATATATATTTATGGTCTGGATTACATTCCCCTGAAGTGTGGATTCAGTTAAAGCCACAAATAACAAAGATTCTCAGATTCCTTTAAGCTAAAAGGTCACTTACATTCCCTGAATCTCTCTGTTCTCAAGTACAACCACCTCTTACCACTCTATTACTCAGCAGATTTTTAAATCACTACAGCTATAAAAAGAAAACTGTCTCTTATCTCCACCCTACAGGCATTAAGGAAATAAAATGAGAGTTTATATGAACATGCTTTGGAATTAACACATACACATGCACCACTCTAAATGCAAGGCAGTTTTTCTATCCCGACCACAATTGGAAGTGATCCTAGAATATAATCCTGGGCCTACGGCAAATCTCTTTATTAGAAAAAGCCAAATGTTCATATTTACCAGACACAACTATCCACAACCTGAAAGACAAGACATTAAGCATTTAGCTGTTTTCTATCCAGGTGTTGGGGGGAGGAGAGAAAGACTAGAATTCCTTACAAATTTTCTTGAGAAACAAACAATATATCTGTCCGAGGTAGTCACAGAATATGCTTTAGGATTTTTGAAAAACAAAATTCTCTCAAGGTCTACTTTAAAACCAAGATACCATCACCACCTGTCCCATCTTCTTCACGGGGCTGTTAGTACAATAAAAATGCAACAGTGCACAGTAATCATCTTAAATATGATGCCATGTAAGTTGTAATTTCCTCTGAAAACACACCTGGCCTGCAACCTTCTATTCTCTGACCCTCCCGACCACTTCTTCAAATCTGCTAAGAAGAATATGAAGAAAAGATGCCTCTAGGGCCACTGAACCCCATCTTCTCAAGTAGCCAAACAAATGGAAAAACCAATTGTTTCCACTCCTGAAAGTGCTGTTTGGAAATCATTAACTCCAAATCAGTGACGAGTGTAGTTAGTCAGTAGTGCAATTGTATGTAATTATCCCTTAGGCTTGGAGAGGACAATTAACGAGACACCCCACTCTTCCCCTCCCCTCACTCATCCTGTCCCTGTGCACTTGGACCCTGTGCCAAAGGCTCAGCCAGCCAGGAATGTTGCAGGGCCTCAAGGATCCTATAGAGTACAAGTCTACCCCATAAAGCTCAGCTCACCTCGGCTGGCTTAGAGAAAATGTTTTCCCACACCCTTTATCCTCATGTTGAACAAATGTGGCACTTCTTCAAAAACAGAGAGAAACCCAGATATCTCTATGAAAAGCCACTGAAGAAATCAAATGCCAGGTTCTCTGGCCTGTTGTGACCTGTAACTATCCTGCCTGACTCAACCTCTTCAGGCATTTAGAATTAAATCCGGTAGCTGGAGGAGGCCATGGTCATCCTACAACAACTCACAAGTTAGGGCTAAGTCACCAAGATATTACTTTCTTTCTAAAAATTCTAAAACTTTTAATCTTTCAAATATTTTAAGAAGACCAAAAGACCTATTATATAAGCCCTTTCTTTCATCTAAATTTATCCTTCTAGCTTCTAGAGATGACCCTACAGATTTAAAGAACAAGTCTATGTCCTTCCTAAGCAAAATGAAAAAAACTGAAAATAAAAAACATCAACTCTTCAGTCTGAGTTCAAACAGTAGCCCTTCCTTCCCGTGGTCATTTTATGACAGTGGAAAAAACACAGGATTGAGACTCAAGACCTAGGTTCTAGACTAGCTCTGCCAGGAACTCACTATGTGACATAGGGCTAGCTAGTGGTTTCACTTTTCTGGGTCTTAGGTACTTCTTCGAAATAACATAAGAAAGTTAAAATTAATGATATTAGGTAGCTCCAATTTTTATAGTTCTATTTGCCCTTTTTGAAACTGTCTGCTACAGCCTCATCCTTAACATGTGATGCACCCATAGGGTTTCTATTAAAATTCTAATGAATTAGCCATAAACAGCTTATGTTCACCCTGTACACTGTACTTTGCCAAATCCTGCTGGCCCCCTAAAGACCTAAGTAATCATACTCGTGATGCACTGTTCTAAGTACATAAGGTTGAGCCATATGAACTGCCAATATTCAAACATTTTTGACATACAAAAATGGCAATTTCGGCTGGGCACGGTGGCTCACACCTGTAATCCTAGCACTCTGGGAGAATGAGGCGATTGAGCTCAGAAGTTTGAGACCAGCCTGAGCAAGAGCAAGACCCATCTCTACTAAAAAAAAAAAAATAGAAAGAAATTATATGGACAACTAAAAAGCATATATAGAAAAAATTAGCCAGGCATGGTGTCACATGCCTATAGTCCCAGCTACTTGGGAGGCTGAGGCAGAAGAATTGCTTCGGCCCAGGAGTTTGAGGTTGCTGGGAGCTAGGCTGATGCCACGGCATTCCAGCCTGGGCGACAGAATGAGACTCTGCTTCAAAAAAAAAAAAAATATATGGCAATTTCATATAGTTCAATCTACTATATTAACTTATTTATCTCTCTTAACAAACCCACAAGGTAAAGTACTGTGGAAATCTTCATTTTACAAATGAGGAAACAGAAGTATAGAGAAGTTAGTAACTTGCCAAGGTCACACAGCTAGTAGACGATAGGGTTTGAATTTTAACCTAGACAGCCAGGATCCCAAGCCTGTGGTTCTAACCATAACATCATATTGCCTCTTGAAACGGAAACAAGAAGAGCTTGAATGTTCAGAGGCCAGACCAAGATAATATCTTGGAAGGAGAGTGAGAGGTTCCCACCACAGCCTTTGTTGGGTTGTACCTTTCACTTCGATGGTGGCATTTGCTTTAGGAGCGCTGACAAAGTGATATACACAGTGGTATTCGCCTGAATCCTCAGCTCTCGGCTTACTGATCCTGCAGAGATGAGAAGAAAAACCAAGTGAGGAAAATGAGAATGATCAAAATATACCACAAAAAGAGAACCAAAGGGGCAGTCAGGGATCTTGCTCTCCAAATCCTGCCCCTTAATGCAATTCACCTCCTCCTAACTAAAAGTAAAAACCCCCCTCTGTGCATCCCAAAACATTAATGCCTTACTCTTTCCTGGGTGATAGGAATACAAAGATGGAATGGCACACTGTGTCTAACCTTAAGATGCTCTGGTCCATTGGGATAAACAAACTTCAAAGCAAGTAATCAAAATAGAGGGCTGTGCAAAGTACTATAATTTATACTAGGATATAGAGGACGGAACCATAAGTGAAAACTTCTTGCTCACGTCATTGTTCTAGTCAGATAAACAAGAACAGAAAACAGAAAACAAAAAACCAAAAACCACAAGCTTTTTCTGAGCTTCCCAAAAGACCTTGTTTTGCTAGTCCTGCTCTTCCTACCCTGCATTTTAGGAGCATGCCTTTCAATAAGTCTACTCACTAACAGGACCCAGATATAGCATTTTAAAAAAAAGAAACAAACAAACAAAAAAAACACTGCCATTAACACATCACCACAGAGATGCAGCTAAAAACCTTATCATGAACTCCAGCACCTGTATGATCTGGTCCCTGCCTACCTTCCTAGCCACATTCCATGCCACTTTCCAGTCCTTCTGGTCTCTTTTCAGTTAATGTGCCAAGCTTGTTCCTACCTCAACAGCTTCACACAGGATGCTCCTTGACAAATAATGTTCTTCCCATCACTTTTAGCATACCTAACTCCTCTTCCATCAGGTCTTGGCTGACATGTTACTTTGTCCAGCCTCAATCTAAATTTCATCCCCCTCCATGACATTCGCTCTACACTACCCTGTGATTTTTCACAGTACTTATTACAACATGTGATTACACATTTATGTGATTGCTTAACGTCTGACTTCCCAACAAACAAAGTTCTATGTGGGTAGGCACTATGTAGTACACAACTCTACAGCCAGCACCTTGCCTGGTGCCTGGAATACAGGAGGGGAATGAATAAACAAACAAATGAATGACTGAAGTAATACAAACTCAGAGTGAACAGCTGTGCACAGATCCAGACCAAATTAAACAGAGTTACAGGAAGGACTGTAAGAAGTGTGTATGACCAGAACACTTTCTTTGAATCTCACAGAGTGATTCCAAACAAGCTTTTTGCCCCTGAGGGCCAACTTCACATCAGTTCAGTATACTTCGGCCTACATGCATATACATCAAACACATGCGGGAAGGTTAGTGAGTAATTACAGAAAACAGATAAACGACAGCTTTCAGATTAGAGAATTAATATTTATATAGGGCTGGGCACCTGCTCTTTTGCTTAGTGGTTAAAATATGATATTTATGATGGTAGAATCTCCACGGTACTATTTAATGTTTAAGAAAAACTCATCAACTTGACCACTGACTGGAACAATGCATATCCATCTTACTGCTCATTTCAAAAAGGAAACACAGGTGAAGAGACTACAAATGAGAAAAGACACAGCCTATCTGCAGGACTGTCTCACAGCACATCCATAGCAGCAAAATATTTTACAAGGAGCAGTCAAGATGTCTTTTTAATTTGACACAATGTCTCTTCTTAAATCAACATGCTCCCAGTAGAAAAACAGACACAAATTAACTGCTCTTGACAGTAAGTGTTCCAGAGTTTGAGGGAGGAACAGCAGCTACATCTATCTTCAGGGCTTAAACTAACTTTAATTTCCTTGAGAAATACTTGGTAAGATATCTCCCACTCTTGAGGCCATGCCTATGGGCTCAAAATCTCCCCAGACCATTCCCATTCCCCGGGCTATTAGGAAGAAACTGAAGCAAATGGAATGTCCCATACAGGCTGAGCAGAGGCAGGGTTCTGAAATTGGACCCAATGGCTGACTTATTAGGTAGCCCAAGGGACTCATCAGTTGTTATCCCACAAAACGTAGAATCCCAGAAAAACTCTAGGGATGCAGAATACCCCTGAAGAACTTCAAATAAGCTGAGGAAAAAAAGCAGAAAAATCATTTTACAAAGTCAGACTGAAACTTTATGAAGTTACAGCTCAAAGCTCTGTGGGCAACAGTATAAGACCCAAGAGAAACATGATTGGGTGTCTGCATCTTGAAAGAAGTACTATAAAAAGCAAACCTGTAAAACTAACAGACAGATCAAGAATAAATGCCTTTCAATTTATCCAACATCTTTATTTGATTAACCCTTCCAAACTACAAGGATATAGCTGAGGCTGTATTTCCAATTTTATGTCAGAAGAAACTATAGTGGAGATAGGTTAACTTGCCACTGAGTAATATGGCATAGCAGGGGGGGCGGGGACACCAATTCTAGAAAAATTTCTAACAAATCAGAAGACCTGGAACCTAGCCTTGGTTCCGGAATTTATTAGCTACAGAATTTGGCTTTAAAGCAGCCAAGAGTTACTCTTTGAGTCTTAGTTTCCTGGCCAGAGAAAAAAAGAGGGGTCCACAAATTCAAGTAGATCAATTAAATAAGGGAGTGAAAAGATCTCAATGCTATAAAACACAGCAGAGAATGCTCTTGCTACTACCAGGTATAAAAGTTTTCCTGGTCTCACTCCAGTGGCTCTCTGTCTTTGCACTGTATCAATCTACCATACAAGATTAGCTGATGTTTTTTCAGATTAGTTTTCAACCAAGAACAAATCATTCTGAAAGGTGAGGTGCCATGTGTTCTAGATACTCCAAAAGCCCCAAATCTCTGGGCACTGGGTAACTCTAGCCAGCAAATAGTCTTCTTTCTTCAAAGGGTATTTCTAGGCTACGCTCCTCACTCCAGATTGTTAAAGAACCCTGTGTCTGCTGTCCACATCAGGGTTATGGTGATATTAAACACTCCTAAAAGGTAATTCACTAGGAAATCTACCCAGTGGCAAGATCATTTAGGGAGATGCCTTGCTCTGACAGTCTCAAAGCAGACTTCAATCTGCTTCTTCAAACCACTGGATTAAGACAAGACACTGCATTCCAATTCCACCTCTCCTGTTGACTAGCATTGTTACTCTGAGTAAATCATTCTCTCATGCCCTCAGTTTCTCTAATATCATAGTGAGGGGATCATCTATAGCTCTCAAATCTGTCTGCTCATCAGAATCATTTGGAAATCTTTTATAGATTCCTGGGCCTTATGCCAGGATTAGACTGGATTAGACTCTCCAGGGAAGGACCAAATATATCTCGTTTCCCTCCCACATGGCATAATTATGCATCATGAATGTTGAGTAAGCTCAGCCACACTCCCTTCCCATCTTCCCAGGAGCTGCTAGCCCCTCTCACCTGTATTCCATGTTGCTGGCATTCTTACGAGTGGCAGTCAGTTCCACCCCATTCTTTGTCCAGTAGCTGTATGTAAGGGTGTGAGAGCTGGAGGTGAGGTTACACTGCAGGGTGACGGGGAAAGCAGGAGGACTATCTCGAATAATGATCTCTTCACTGGTGACAATCCTTGGCTCTGTAATGAGAGTACACAATGATAGGGGGCAATAGCCTTCCATCCTCTGCAGCCCTGGCCTGACAGTTGGATGGGGCAGGAAGGGGAGACTAGAAGAAGAGGGAGGGCAGACAGGACCACACGAGGAATTTCACTTTACCACTTTGGAGGAAGTCAAGAAAGGAAAAACAATGATTATAAGCAAATGACCACTAGCGCACACAACAGCCTGAAGACCAGTTGGCCTAGACGTGAAAGAATGGGAGTATTACAGGTACTTATACTGGTAAACATCCACTTACGCTTCTGAATACCACCTTTTTATGATATAAGAACCACCCACCAATTCAGCTTCAATTAGAAAACTGGGCTCCACCTCCCAGTTCTGAAGACAAAGGTAACATCATTTACATAACTAATAAACTCCCTATGGGCCTTAGAACAGTAATAGGTATAATTAGATAATACATGTATGGCTTTTCCCACACTGAAATGTTAAACCTATAGCAAGCCAGCCAGGGCCATTATTTATGCAGAAAAAGACAGCACAGATCCTAAATGCAAACTTCGTATTGGAAGTCCAATAGCATTTTCCTAATTTTGCTAAGGCAAAATTCTTAAGGAATTATCAGTTCCTCTCTCCAGCCCATATTTATTCCCAAAACAAAATTTTTTTCATAATTGCACTTTAAAACACATTCTATTCCAAGATAATATAACTAGAGTGCAATATGTGTTGGTATTAGGGCTCCCAGAATTGTAGAAAGGCCCTTAGAGTTTGCTGAATCCCACTCTTTCAAAAAGTGAAATAAATTGTGCAAAGCCATAAATATTATTAGTGGCAAAGCTGGGCCTAGAACACACATCTGACTAAATTCTCTATCCCTGTCCAACCCCAACCCCCATCCCCACCTTCCGCCCTAGGGCAAGGCATATACTTTACGTTCTGGTTCTATCCTGGGCTTAGATAAACTGGGATCACTAGTGTATAAAAATAATGAGTCAAATATTATAATATACTGAACAGAAATTTTTTAAGTCATATTCTATCATTCCTGGAAGTTTCATCTTTAAAGCACTTTGAAATCCATCACTATATTAAAGTCAAGATGTTTCCATGTTTGTTATTTGTCTTTTGTTGTTGTTTGTTGTTAATTTTTTTCCCCAGGATTCGTTTTTTTTCTACTTTTGGTCATTTTCAGGTGAAGTTTAAACTAATCGTCTTTTTCACCTACAGTAAGAGATAATTGCTCTTTTATATTCTTCCAATTCTTTCTCAGAAACCCTGGACTTCCCTGTATCTGGCTACTTCCTGTCTACAACTCCACAGCAGCATCCCCTCACCATTTTATGCAATACAGTGCTGACCATTAACTCCTGAGAACAGAACTCTCTCCCTCCACTGGAACTAAGGTTTGTTTGCAGTTTAGGGAGGAGGAAAGGACAGAGAAATTATGGGATACTTGGAAAATTTAATGCCTTAAGGACTTCCTGACCAATGTAACATTTCTAACTGTAGAATTAGTACCTTCAGAGAAACTTGTACTAAAGCAAATCCTTAAGTTTGCTCAATTAACAAATTGGTTCTAACTATTTTCCAACTCTGGCAAAAGGATAATGGTTATCTTCCATTTGGCACTGGTCCTTATCAGTAACATTAAACAGGGTCTCTATGTACAGATAATGGAGGCATAGCAGCCACTAAGACAGAAGCAGATGCATGTAAACACGTTAGCGCAGTGGTGTCCCATGGTTTCCAAGACACACTGGACAGAAGCCAAATCCCTGGGCCTTAAGAAGTCGAGCAGAACGGCTGCAAACCCTGCAATGGAAGGCGCACACACACCATCAATCAGCAGAAAGCATCACAATTCCAAGAAAAATCAAAACCAAGCAAAAACAAAAGAGAGAAAGATAGAACCAGTACTCCACAGAAGAGAAATTAAAAAAATATAAAGGCAACATTAAAACCCAAACACAATTTTAGATTTTCACTGAATTTTTATTAACCAATTTCATTTTCTGTCCCGCTTGGGACTTTCTGGCTCTTCCTCTCAGATTGCACTGAGAAGGGTAAACTCTGAGAATCAGGCCAAGAGCTTCCAGATGTTTAAATAAATATAAGGAGGCCAAAGTAAATGCTACTCTTACCTGTGGCGATGCAAATGACCACTGCAGCTCAGGGAGATTAAGAAGCTGATGAAAGCAACCTGGTAGACTTTCTGCCAAGAATTCTTGGAAGGCAAAGGAAAACACTTTTTCCCTTAAGTGTTAAAGATCCAGGAGAGTCAGCTGGGAGCAAGTGGATAATTTAAATAGGTTTAAATATCATTCTGTACCATAGGAGGGTTGTGGGGTAGGGTAACCTGCCTCCTGTGATTGCTGTATATGAAAACTAGTGCCAGACCAATTCCTTAGCCATGGTGCCACATCTGCATTCTGCACCATGACAAAAGTGGGGCTTTTATTTCTGTGGCCAAGCACTGCCCAGTGAAGTCCAAGAGAGATGAACATTTAAGGAGAAGCTCGAACATTTTTAGCTGCCACTGACTACTATTTAGAAGCAGCAGGTAGGAGACTCTTACCCTAGCCATCATGCATATGTAAAGAACATGCTATGGCCAGAGAGATAACCCTAAAATCTGGGCACATTTCTCTTCCTGCCTTACACTACTCAAGGAGCTTTGGGGAAAGTACTGCCAGGAGGTCATTCTTAGATAGAAGACTTCAACCTCTCCCTGGAGGCAATGTCTTTGGAAATGCTAAGATCACAAAACAATCCAATTAGAGTTGAAACCAGGGTGTTTTAAGAAAACAAAAAACAACAACAACAACAACAACAACAAAACAACAGCAGCAGCAGCAACCTCCTGGCTCTCCAAAACAGCTAATTAGGGTTTAACTGATGGGGAAGTCTGGGGAGAGACTGACTAGCCAGGATTTGGTTTAACCACATGCAGACAACTATAAATTAGGAAACTGTTTCTAAGCAAACTAGGGAAATGTTGTGTAATCTTGGGATTGATAGGTAGGTCCCTAAAGCCTCATCTTTTTCTAGCCCCCAAGCATGGTCTTTCTAACTATGAGTAAGGCTCCTGGAAGTACAAGTACCAAATGCCCAGCCCAGTCCATGCCTATAAACTTCTGCAGACCTCTGTGGCCATTTGGATAATTCTGCTTTTATAAGGAAAGGAGCAAGGGGGCAGGAAAAGGAGTCGTGCAAGGGAAAAAAATTGTTAAAAAAAAAAAAAAGGAAAGAAAGAAAGAAGAAAATTTACTGGGTTAATGTTCCCCATTTTCACATAGACAAGGTTTTCTTTTCCCCTTTCCAGGAGCAGGTTCTCTGATTCAACAGTGCCAACTGCAGCAGCCTCTCCCATCTCTGCTCTATGGATTTTTTTTTCATAAGGATCTCTGAGTAGCTACAAAGAACAGACACTAATTTGTTGTTTCCCATAAGTATATAAATTCAAGGCCAATGTCATACTACCTCCTGTGTTATCACCATATTCCTCATAAAACTAGTATTTTACTATTTTCACTTACTCTTTCTAAATCGATCAGCTCTTTAAGAACTGGCTATAGGTCTCTCACTGAATCCTTGACGAAGGTGAAAAACCCAGAGGATCTTTCCATTAAATAGAGAATGCCCCCTCAATTTTAACCAGGTCTGACATAGGGCTAGAACTCTTCCTGGTCAAGAGCACTGGTTCCGTGGTAGCTTCTCCTTCCCACTTTCTTCTCTTTCAAGAAAGAGAAGTGGCCACAAAAGCTCCTTTTTCAAATGTCTCACTTGTACCTGTTATAACAGATGAAGGGGGAAGATTCTGAGCCAGCCACTCAGCTCACCTTATCACTGAGAGGAAGAGGGCTGGAATTTAGTTTCCTCTTTTCTCAAGACACAAAGAAAAAGGCCAATGTAAATGGCTTCCAAATGATTTCTGGGGTTGCCATTCTCTGGGATGAGGAGCTGTGTGCCAATAGTCATCAAACTGTGAACAGGAATCAGATACAATTCAGACTTTGAGACAGCGTGATAGGGTTTTAAAAAAAATATTTTGCAGCTTAGTGTAACCTTGCTCCTAACAGCAAGACATGGAGAAAAGGCTGCTGCTTTTAAGAAAAGAAGAGTGAACCGGCAGGCCTGGTGAGGAGTATACTGCTGCAGTGGAGGGCTAGTATCAGAGAAACACATGCCACTGTTTTAGAAAAGAAAAAGAGCTGGAACTATGGAAGTATCCAAGCTTACATGCCACCCAACAACCAAAACACACCACCACACTGCACCCATGGCAACATTCCCATCACAGGACAGGATGACACCAGGTCACAGTGAGGGAAGAGGCTGGGCAGACACAAACTCAAAACCAGAGGTGAAGGCAGCTACTCAGAGAGCTTCAAACAGATGAACAGAAGAAATAAAAAGTAGTTAGATTGGGGAGAAAAACAAAAATAGAAAGGCACCAGAGAAGAAATCAGCAGAAGGATAGCAGGAAACCTACTACAAAATCAAAGGGGAGGGAAAGAAACAATTGCAACACTACCCTCCTTTGACTGCCTGGTTTTGAGAGTTTTAATTTTTTTTTAACCTCCCCAGTTCTCCCTCCCCACCTCTCCCCCAACGCAGATGAATTTGGACAGTCACGGATTTCCTCAAGTTCTTTGTTCCTGAGAAGAAAGACACAGAGAAGGGTTGGGGGACAATGGAGGCAGAGAGCACGGCAGAGAAGAAAAAAAGTTGCCACAGATGTTTTCATACACTACAACCAAAAGGGTCGTGGGTTTGAAAAAACGAAGACAAGGGGTGGGGTGAGCGATCATACTGGGGAAGAGGGAAAGGAAGCAGAAGGGAAGGGTCATTGGGCCACCTCTAATGACTACAGTACTACTACTGTAGGGTGCTGGACTCACTCTGAAGGACGCTTATGGTGGCCTGGGCTCGAATCCATGTTATGGAGGGGTTTTGCCTCAAGTCATTCCTCTTGGGGTCGTTGCTGGCCCTGCACTCGTAAGTCCCAGAGTCCTCCAAGGTGAGCCGGGTTATTCTCAGCACACTCACGCCGTTTGACCCGTAGGCGGTGTTTACGGTGACACGGCGCTTCCGAGCACCGTCCCACAGCTGTCTGAAAGACTCTGCCCGGTTGACTTCTGCGTACCACCACTGGATCTCTGGCGTGGGGCTCCCGACCACGTCACAGTACAGCTCAAAGGCGTCCCCCGTGAGCTTAGTTTCTGACATGGGCGACTTGACAAACCCAGCTAGAGGGAGGGGGAGCAGGAATGCAGTGACAGGCCAATCAGAAAAAAAAAGAATCAACAGGTGTTAATAGTAATTTAAAGAAAAGAAAAGAAAAAAGCAAATGAGTTGCAAAGAACAAAAAAGGATTCATTTTTAAACTATAAAGAGACAGTAATAGCAATTCATACAAGCTCTTAGAAGAAGAACCACCCTGGGAAGCTTATGATGCAAAGGCAGGCTAATTACAAGCTGGGGCAGCCCAGGTGCTGGCCAGGCAGAAGCAAGCCCACTGGAAAGCATTTTAGCAATGGGCCCAGCTGGCGGGAAGGAGAAAGCCTCAGGTCTTGGGGAAGAGCCTCTTTCCTTAGAACACAAACCATTCATTACCTTTTCAAACTCAGGCAAGTGATGAAAGATAACCGGAAGTGGCAGTAGGTTTATATACCAAGTCGCGATCTCTTTTTTGGATGGGGAAACACTGTTAGAGATGCAATGTCTCTTGCAAGCCTCAACAAGAAGTACTAACTGATCTACTGGTGCATTCTATTGGGATTTAGAGTCCAAATTTCAACTGAAAGTGTAGCAAATTTCTCTCTCATGTAGGACCCTATCTTGAGTTCAGATTAGACTTTCTCTACCTCCTATTCTTCTCTGGGGCTATGGCAAACAAGCAACCCAGTTGTCTGTGATTAGGCAGCCTCTACCTGAATGCAGACCTTTAGACTCAGGAGAACAGGACAGTCTGTATTTCACACCACAGTGAGATACTCTGGGGGTCAGCTCAGAAGTGGGACTAGCAACACCAACAACCCAACTCATCACCAGCCAATGCAGAGTCTTACGCCCTCCATAATCCCATAAATACATATAACTGGAAAAATCTTCTGAAAGGCAGTTGTAGAAATAACCATGGTATACTTCACAGGCTCTATATAGTTTAGTTGCCTGGCTACTAAAGCCAGCTGAAAAAGAATGAGAAATATATGCTGACTAATTAAACTAAACCTTAGTGTGAAGGCCAGGCCTCAACCAACACAGTCAGAGACTGCCCAGGAATTAAAGCTGATGCCTATCTCCACTTTCTCATAATTTGCTTGAGGTTACACTTCCTCAAGACAAAGTGGAAATGGCAGAAAAAGTGTAAAAAAAATCCAGGCTTATTTGAAAATTTGGAGTTGGGTCCACAGGTAACAAAATCACAGTGCAAGCATACTCTCTTACACATTCACTCCAGATGGGGTTCATTCAGCATTTCTACCAATACAGGCAGTGTCCTAAGGTACAGAGCAAGAAAAGAGGGCACTCCGTGGCTTGGCAACTTCCCTTGGGAGACCTGGAACATAAGCCAAGCCAACCCCTCTACAGTGAGCAGTGAGGTCAGGTTCTGCCAACATCAGACTAAGAACATTCCAGAGGGGAGTGAGAACTAAATGAAACAGTTTTCCTACAGTCCAGAAGCCAAGAATTTAACAGGACTAGCTAAAAATGAAGGTTGCTAAGCGGAAAAATTTTTGTTTATATTCATGGTGGTATTTGCCTATGAAGATAAACCCCACCCCATGGATCTAAGACTATGAAGGGTGATAATATACTTACTCAAGCAGAGATCAAGACCTCCAAATTCTTACTAGACTTTCAATTTCTGAAACTTTTAGAATCTGAGGAGCACAGGAATGCTGTGATTAACAGACTCAAACTAAATGTTCTGCCTTTAATACACCATTCTAAACTACCTCTTCAGATCCAACAAGTCTTGTCCCTCTGAGGAAATATCTACCAGAAGATCTAAGAAGCCAAACAGATGTCACTCTCAAATGCAGAAGTTTTAGAATTACAGAAAAGAGCCCCCAAATCCCCTGTATCAAGAGCTGAGCTCACTGCCAAATAAAGTGGTATCCAATGAGCTATGTCTTGGTCCATCTCACAAACTGCCACCTGCCCACCTGTCAAAGTCAATGTCAACTAATACAAAGGGAGAGGTAAAGGAAGCTGGTTTCATTCATTTTTCTACTGGTTCAGCCATCAAAGAAAACTGGATATTGGTAAATCCCTGGAATGCAGTAGCAGTATTACTTTGCTTTAATCATATTCTTGACCATAAGTGGAAATCACAAATGGTCTTATTATCATATTCTCTGTGAACTTGGGGAGTCTATAGCCTCTCAAATGCTGTAATTATGCACTTGTTTATGCCCTAAAACTCTGTTAGTGGACTTGTTTTGTTTTTTTTTTCCTTCCTCTGAATTGCACTTCAAAGCAGGCCTATTTCTCAACCTCTTGACCACATTCATGTAAAGATGATGCCTGCAAAGTATGTTCAGAACCACCAAGAATCCATCCAATTTCAGTGTAACCCCAAATCCCAATACCACACAATTCAAAGGTAGCTGGGAAACAGTCTAAACAACATGATTCCCACAGCACAGAACTAAGCAAGACATTCAGCCTGATCATAACACCCCAGGCAAGACTCTTGTTAAGGAGGAATGAATGCTCATCTGAGTCAGTTCAATTTTCTACTTGCACTGAGGAAAATGGGGCCATGACAAAAATGTTCTTTGAATTAGCAAATTATATGCTGTATATTTAAACAAATTTATTTAAAAACAACATTAAAAATTCTGTAAAACACCAACAATGGACATCTTCCTGTGCTTTCTTTGAAGGCCATTATTAGACATATATGTAAACAGGCAACATTTCCTAAGTTTATGCTGTTATATGTTAGGCAATGTGCTAAAGCACTTTATATTTATTATCTCATTTAATCCTCACAACTGCCTTAAAGATAGGTGCCATTATAATCCCCACAAAGATGTGGAAACTAAGGTCCAAAATTTTAAATATTTTCCCCACAGTCAAAAGCTAATAAAGTCTGCTCTGGAATCCAGATGTGTCCAAAGCAAAGCACGGTCTCTTTTAACACTTTCTACAACTGCAGTCAATATGTCTTACTAGGCTAGAAAAGTTTTTGTAGTTACTTAAAAGTTGAAGTTATGCTTTGTTACCACTTAGTTTAATAAATTAATTAATAATTCCTGCCCACAAAAAGCCAGGAACCCTCCACTGGAATATGCAACACACTATGATCACTAACTCCTTAAGTTAACACCTTACTAAAGAATGACGACAGAGGAGCACAGAATGAAAAAGTTCCTAAAGTAACTGGGGGAAGTGAGGGAAGAGTAGGAAGAAAACAAAAGAAAAGCCTGTTCTGAGGCAAGACTGCCCCTAGTTCTGATGATTCAAATGTCCTGCTCTTAAAAAGGTTAGCTTAAGAGGAAGGAGTTTAAAAGACATTGCAAACATTTCTCTGGTGATGTAGCCAGAAGCCAAATTAGTAAAGGGCAGCATCTAAAATTTTTATAAAACTTTACATTTGCAAAGTGCTTCCACATACATCACATCTCATGTGCTCATAGAGCAGATGCAGAGGCAGGTTCATGAACTGCTCAAGATCACTTAGGCAGCTTGTCCTGAGTGGGGCTGGGACTAGAACACAGGTCTATAGCTCTTAGTCTAGGGCGCTTTCCAATAAACCATACTGCCTCTAAACAAACCAACTAGGGGATTCCTTGATAGCTGAACACTCATCAAAAATCATGAAAACAGATCTATTTCCCCTCCAAACAGCAGAGGGGGGGGCGGGGAGAGAGAGAGAGAGAGAGAGAGAAACACCTCTTTACACAGTCCTGTGAAATCACAATTAGCAAGGGAAAGTTATTAGCAACCATCCACCTCATTATCTATCCAAAATTAGCTCCAATTCAGGAAAAGAACCAGCTCTCGCAGCAGTAGGAGGAGGCAGGCAGCTCAGAGCCTGACTCACTGCCCTGTCTTCATTACCAAGGGCTTTTAAACAATTATGTGCCCTCAACATGAAAGCACACAACTGCCCTAAGTAGGGAGGCCAGTAGAAGCATCTGTTCAATCTCCAGGTCAAATTTCATCCAATATTTTGGAAAAAGCCTAAATTTTAGAAAAACAACCTCCCGTCCCATCCCTTCCCTGCCATCATCTCCACCTACTGTCTTAAGTGACTGGGCCAATCTCAAAGAGTTTTGAGAAAGTATTGGTGCATTCAGTGCAACAGTAAGAAGGGGAGCTGAATGGCTTTGGGGGAGGGAGGGAGGGACTACAAGCTGGTGTTGGAGGGGATAGCAAGCAGAGCATTAAAAATGAAGGCAGCAAAACCAGGAGAAGTGTAATGTAAAATTGCATAACTGGGGGTGGGGGATGGGGAGGCAAAGATGACAGCTGGGACTCGGCAGCCGGAGAAAAGGAGGAGCTCTCTGGCAGGAAAAACTGGATGTGTAGATATATAGCAGAGGGTGAGAAGAAAAACGGAACACAGAAAAGCAAGTGGAGCCCAATCCCAAGAAAACTGCTTTTATATGTGCCCTAAAGAAGCAAAAAAAAAGCTAGCCTAACTCTCAGTAGGAGAGACCATCAGTGATTTTTACATTTACCTCCAGGGCAACCACAGATTAAGAAATAAAACTAACTTCTCTCCGTCTCCCTCAGATGACTATTGCTAAAACCATGCCTTGCCTTTAAAGCTTGCCTGCTTTTATAACCTTTTTTCTTTTAAACAGCTGTTTCCTGCAAGCTCCCATTACCACTAATTCCCTGTGGGTGCCTCACAATAAAGAGGAAATGACAGCCAAGGACATAAGAGCATTTCTCTCTCCTATGTTGTTTTTCACACACACAAATTTAGGTCATCTACCTCAAAAAGAAGACTGAGCAAGACCCACAGACATCCAAATGTGGTTATAGGGACCATAAACTTATAAAAACTTATAAACTATGAGTATTTCAAGTGTCTAAATGACCCTGGACTGCTATGAGGCTGTCATAGACTTGAGCCCTCAGACTACTGTACAGCCTGCCTATCCTTACTGTTAATTAAGAAACAGATCATTCATCACTATTCCTTGACACCAAAGGCAGGTCAGAAGTCTACATGCACTCACTCTGTTTGGACTGGCCAAGAGTAAGGCAGGCCTGAAGCCCCAGG